AATGCCAACAAGCGTACCGTTTGACCCTAAATCAGGGACGGATGGCTATAGGGGCCTGAATGATTTGTTTCTCTCGGCTTTTATCAAATCAAAAGGGTTGAACAATGTTTGGTTTTTTTCTTCGCTCTTTTCTTGTGCATTGCAAGACATAGGCCCCACGACCCCTCCTGGCATATTGGCTTGTTTCAAAATGGTTGCTCTAGATGGTTTTCTGATCGAAAGAAGCCAAACGGAAAGAACAGCCACTGTATAGCCACTATACAAAAGGATAGATATTCCTGTTTGCCTCTGGGGGTAGTGGTTTGGGGATGAGTGGTTCCTTGGTGGGGTTTGGGACTTTGAAAGGTTGAACGTGGGAATGAGCTTAACATAGGCTACACGTATGGCTGTACACAGTCTAAGAAATTTCCACGCCACGTATACGCTCAGCATATGCTACACATAGCAGACATGTGGTAACTGGTAAACACATTCCACAAATGTGCAAACAGCGGAGGTAAGATAGAAGAATGTGCTTGAAACCGTTGGAAAAGCCAGATTTGCACCAGGAGTCACTACACATATCTAGAAGCAAGCTCGACAAATGCTTGAGCTATGTGAGACAAGTACCAGAAATCTGACAGGCGTGTATTGAAAATAATCTGGGAATATGATGTCCAAAAGCTTGACATATTCTTGACATTTGCTGGGAGCGAGCTTGACTATCGCTATGAATCAAGGTGGGGAACCCCCTAAAAAGTGGAGGTGGATAACATCCGCCAAGGGGTCCCTAATCAAGACGAATACCCATATCAATGCGCCAGGACAATGCAAGGTTTGCTACACATAGGCTTGGCCGAATATGAGTCTGAACATATTGCAAACGCATAAAACAGCATAAAACAGCTAGACACGATGGGCATCACTTCGGTGGGTTATGAAGTTCATAGCCACGCGCATGCACTTCACAAACTGTGCCAATAACATGCTGTACATTCACTAGAAATAGGCTAGGTACTGGATGAGCAATTTGGATGCGTTCGACCGGCGCCAGGTTTGTGATAGGACTGCACTAGACACAAGCAACATGTTTGCTTCACACCAATGGAGCCCAGCTCGGAACATGGAGGCCGGCGCAAGATTGTAATTACATGGTGCGGCTTCACCAGGAAAAGCCGCGCAACATGTCGTCCCCCACATGCACCGTCTCATTGCTTTTCAAGAGAAGTACCCTGCAATGAGACCTCCAGGCCATCAGGTTATATTTGTGTCTTGACAGCGTGTCGTTGATAAGCGGATCGGCACGTTGAGCGATGTTGAATCGGCTTAGTCCAAAGCCTCGCTTTAATTCGAATCTACCGAAAAGTCGAGTCAAGACTTGACAAGTCGAGACTACGTCGAGAAATTGGGGACTGATCCAACAGCAGCCGCTCAGAGGCATCTACCATAATTTCACAAGTGAAGACGTTTGGGGAAGACAATGACTCCCCAATTCGCATCCAATTCATGCCTGAGCCTTTGCTATGGAGATTCGGCGTAGGTCCCGAACCCAGGGCAATGAATGTCCCTGGCCCCAGCGGGCGGGACGCGGGAAACGGGACGCCATGTCTCAATTGGACGGTCAAGAGACAAGAAACCTGAGGGCCCCTCTGGGCTTGCGAACGGCAGCCACCATGACGTCACTCATATGAGGGTTCGTCAAAAGGTCTGTGATATATGAAGGACCAGCAGGGAAAGCACCCAAACAAAAAAGAGAGACTTTCACCACTAAATCGGAAAAGTTAGCCTGGTTGTTTTGGGGCCAGGAATATTGCTCAACCCCCATATGCCAGTTGACTTAGACAAAGGCTATAGACAGACAGGGATTTCGACTTTGACCAAGCCTCACAGAGTTTGGGCCTTGGTTCAGAGCTGCTTTGTCGGTGTGCCGTGAGACCGACACTGTTTCGACTCAGACTTGGAGCCGAGCCCGTGAGTCTCACGTTAGGCGAGGCTCAACGAGCCGAGAGCCCCATGTCCTGCCTTTCAAGATATGTGCATGACGGGGCCAGTGAAGTCCCCTTTACTGCTTGCCTCCACGCAGGAGGTCCAGCCAAAAGCAAAGGGCATCTGTTTTAAGGAGTTTGAAGGGAAACCAAAAGCAAAACCACCCGTCTTGCGGTGCCCTGTTCTTAGCATACCCAGGTTCTGTTCCCGTGGTTTCCGGCTGGAATACAGACTCCAAGTGCGGGATAGGCACTGTGCCGCTCACACCCTCATCCTGACTCTGTTCGGGTGGGGTGCGGCAAGGCCTGTGCCTGGCGCGAATTGTGCTGCACAAATTACATCTCAAGTTAGCTTTGCGGACCAACCCGGCGGAATAAGGGCTGCTTCCCAAGGAGGTGGAGGGTGCCCTCTGAAATGGCAGTCAACCAAAAACGTGGGTCAGGAATTCTCCCATCTTTGATGCGAGCTGCGAGCTCGCGGCAATTTGTGCGATCGGCCCCGACTTTGTGAGGATGTTGGGAGGACGCGAGAGCGTCACAGTGCGCCAATCACAGGCAATTGTCCAGCATCCATCTACCGACATCGTGAACACACTCTGGCTCTTCGCAGTTCCGCTTCCAATCTTGGTCTCAGGCTGTGAGCACGCTTGACAAGGTGTGACATTGACTTGGGGACGCTTGGGACATCAGAAATACATGGAGTTGTGCTCACCAGTTGGAGGGTATTCCCTACTCATAGCTGTGGAAGCAAACTCCTCGAGAGACTGCGATTGCAATACCGGAAAGTGTCTCCTGCCGAGTCGGGGATACATCGATGCAATATGACCGGCCGAGCGCAAGCTCTGTGCCTGGCTGTTGGGCTATCTGAAAGGCCAAAATGAGTGACAAAACCGATCGGTATTCAAACAATTTATCCAAATCCAGGTCAAGAAATAGAAGGGTAAACATCTGCACCCATTGTGGGGACCACCCTGCATTACTCAGGTGTTGATTCCCTAAATGACTCAGTCCCGCAAAAAAGGAAGGCCTGAAGGAGCCCCTTGAAGCCTCAAAAGTGGAAACGCCGACCTTGGCTGCTTGGCCCCTGGGCGGCCAGTAGAGTCAAGACCAAACCCGAACATCCGCAAAAGCCGCCGGGCCCCAAAGACGCTAAGACAAACCCACCTGCCCAAAAGTTCTCGCCTGCCAGCGGAGCTACTAGCTTCAGTTTCATCCGGCCAAGCGTGCTAAAGGAATCCCTATGAGTAGGTCCTCCATTAGAGAGGTTAGAATAAGGGTGCCCTTTTTCTTGAGTCTATTTTAGTGGGGGAACCCTCCCCCAAAAAAAGAAACGGTAAAAGGGCACTACTGGGGGACCCAGGTGAACTTCCAGAGCCACCTGTGATTCGCATGCTCCTCCTGATAAGTCAGGTGGTGATACCCTTGAAAGCAGTCTCAGCATCAGCCCACAGCAGCCGGATATCGCAAGTTTCTACGCTGGTGAAACGGGTCACGAAGCCGCAAAAGTCTCTCCTCTTCCCGGGCGAAAGGCGAAAGGACATAGATAGCCCAGCTTCACACCAACCAGGAAGTGGACACAAGAGAGAAATAGGGCTAGCCGCCATGGACAAGCTGTGTTTGTGTTTTTCTTCAGGAGATCTGGGTGTGGGTCAAAATTAAACCACGAGGGGACCACAGGTTTTGGTCCATGTTGCCATCTACCAGGGGTCAATTTTGGGTACTTTTTTTGACCCACAGCCATCTGTTCTGACCAACACAAACATCAGTCGAATCCTTTGCGACGCGTCCGTGACCATCGAGTGCCTATGGCAGATTCTTTGCCGGCCGACCGACCGCTAGTGGCCGAATACCCTGGCACAAGTCGCCTCCGCGGGAACCTGGTGCCACGTTGAAGCCAGGGAGGCTATGAATTTCAATTGGGACACCCTTGCCTTGTCGCATTTCTTGACCCCGAATGGGTTCCAACCAATGGATTCCTTTCGGACGCCGCACATCGTCCTTGGGTTGGAGCGATTGGAACCCATTTGTTAGAACCCCTTTGGGGTCCCTGGCGCTTTTCCCATTGAACAAGGGTATCCCATTGAAAAAGTCACAGCCAGGCGCGGCGTAACATCAGCACAAATGTGCCGAGTCAAGATTGGAGAGCCGAACGCTTGCTAGATGCTCCGGCTGCTCCCTAGGCGGAGAGGCACCCCCGTCGGACGCGAAGCCTTGTCCCAAGACCCAATCGAGTACGTGTCAAAATCGGGGATCCCCCCCCAAACAAAAAATATGGGTGTCCTTTCGGTTTCCCCTGAAACCAAGCTGCAAAGGGTAGCCTCAAGAAAGCGCACACCGGATTAGAACTCCGCAGACTCCCTCCACCCCCGAGCCACCCCCAACTCGATCCGAGGCCGGTGAGCTGCAGTTGAGACTACCCATGGGTGTGGCTCTAAATGAAACGATCGGAGGGGCTTATTCCGCAGGTCTTGGTACCCAGGTTTCCACCTGCCAGGGCAACCCATTTTTGGAACTCCGGTTTTTTGAGCCACGGCCACATGGAGACAGCCCCATTGAGACAAACCAGAAGCGACGTGCGCCGAGGCCCCGGCACATCTAAAAGTCTCCGCGGCCTGTCAACAGGAATCGCCCTGTCGGGGCCACATGTTGTGTAAGGCCTTCCCAAAGAACAGACCCCTCTGTTTGAACAACCCTTACCACTGGCAAATGATTTCAACCGAACTGAAACCACGCGAATACATCTGTTTTCAACCAAAGTGGCCTAGGGCACCAGTGGAAATGACGGTAATCGCGAGCTGGAGTCATTGTGAAGCCGCACATCAGCATGGAACTCGGAAGAGCCCTGTTCGTACAAACGGAATCTCCTTTGGGGGAAATTTACGAGCACATGGAGCTGCCGTTTGTGTAGCACCCACACATCAGCTGCGGCTGGAAACTAGCAAACGTTCAGCGACATGACAAACACTCGGGTTAGACCCACACGCATGTTTTCTGGATCAATTCCAAAATGACAAGCACCCCCATATGCCTTGTGCGTCAGCGCTGGTGTCGTCTCCTCGCATATCCTCGCCAGAACGAGTGTCAGTGGGCTTGAGGCCTGGAAAACCCGGCAAAGCCGCGGTTTGCCCCAGGGCATTGAGGGCACCTTGAGGGCACCTTGAGGGCACCTTGAGGGCACCTTGAGGGCACCTTGAGGGCACCTTGAGGGCACCTTGAGGGCACCTTGAGGGCACCTTGAGGGCACCTGAGGAGCAAGGTGCCCAAACGTGGCAGCTGCAAGTGCAAACCTGAGTACAACGGCGAACGGTCCTCTTCCGACGGTCCAAGGCTCAGCTTACCGTCTACGACCGCATCAAAAACACCCTCAAAGACCCAAGCGAGTTGTTTCGGGACCAAGTCACGAATTCAACACACGTAGCCGAAGCAAGCCCTGCCTTGACGCTGCGTTGGAGCGGATGCCTTGGCCACAAGAGCAAGGCCGGGAAAGCAGCGCCGCGGGGCGCGCGGTGTGCGGGGCGCGCAAGGCGGGCCGCGCAAGGCGGGGCGCTCAAAAATGTACCAACTCCAAAGAAGGGCTAAACCGACCAGGGGGTTAGGAATTGATCCCAAAGCCTGGAGCAAGTGCACTACCAAGATGTTGGGTATCCGCCAACCCTCCCAAGGCCCTGGCAATGGACCTCTCTGGTATCTGCCTCACGCACCCACTTGCCGCGCAGCAGGTACCCCCCCCCAAAAAGAGAGAAAAAGCATAGCCCAGATAGCCTGGGAGATTTGACCAGAATCGCTTATTTTTCTCACATCATTTCCGCCACAGGTAGTATGATATGCGGCAACTGCACACCGTTAAGTGCTATGCTTAAGCACAATCAGCGCCCTAGTTCAGCAGCATCATGACTTGGTAATTTTTTGAGCCAGGCTTTCAATGGCGCCTGCACTTTCTGTGCCTGTGTGCAACGTCCTGGGCATGGTGTTGGACGGTGTTTTGAGTCGTTGCACTTTCGAGTTTGCTGCGACGGGGGGGGGGGGGGGCGCCCAAACCCGAAGTTTGCACTTAGTCTTTGCTTTGCGGTTCCATTGGTTCGCCTTTTTTTTTTCCATTGGTGTTCACTTCCGTTTCTGCGTACTTTTCTTCCATATTGTTAGGCCCCCTGGAAAAAATGAAAATGGTTTCAGGTCGTGATAGCTTCCCTTTGAAACCAAAAAGGGAAAACTTGAAATTCAACTTATAAGCAAATGGTAGTTTCTGAACATCTAACGCGGGAATTTCCAGGGCTGCTAAATTTGGCGCCAGAAATCCTGCCTTCTGACAGCAAGGCTGGGTTTTTCAACGCCTTTTTTCTGTTTCATTCTCCTGCTTTTGCCTTCAGTTGTCCGCCCAGCAATATCACAAACATACCGGTGGCTTTCCCACTCATGCTCCATTGATCTTCATTGGCTATCCTGGGCCTTCGTGTGTCTGGCCTTACTGGCATCTGTCATCTGTGTTTGGCTATCTGCAGCATCTGTGTCTAACTGACTCTGGCATCTGTCATCTGCATGTTGCATCGAGCTGCTGGCTTGGCGGCGTTGGGACCAAATCACCCATAGACATCTCCATACGAGACGGCTGAATCTGGCAGCCACCAGCCTCGCCATTCACCGGCTGCAAACATCAATCGAAGAAGTCAGGGCAGTGGCTCGGAAAGCCCAGTGCACGCCCTTTGCAGAAAGTTGCACTGTCTGCGATACCAATGGCAATATGGATTGTTCCCATGAACCTTGAGGTACTGTGGATGGGCAAAATCCTGCGCCACTTGGTAGAAAGTTTATCCCAATACCCACATAGGGTTTCATCCATTGTGGATGCTGTCCATCCAAAAAGTGGCAACTTAAAACAAGCCGCATTTGGGATGTGTCAAAATACAGGACCCAACCCCCCTTAAAAACAGGTCCCCCTGGGGCTTCTTTAGACAGCCTTGAAGCGGGCAGCCTTTAACACACTCACAACACACCACACACACACACACACACAAACCACCACACTCACAACACACACAACACAACAACACACACACGCACGCCGATCTTCCGATTGCGTCGGCTCTGCCTCCAGCTGTTGGACGTGCCCACAGTACCTAAGAAGCAGCTCCAGACAGGGCTCTCGTCCGTGAAACCCACACGCACCACTTGCAATGGCTGCAACCCCGCGTTTGAGGTTTTCCGCGGCAGACCACAACCAACCGGTGCATGTTTGACTGCACAGCACCGCAACAGGTTGCGGAAAGTATGGCATTCTTGGACCCCTTCTAACTCGGCCAGGCCCTGCCAAACACGGACAAACTTTGCTTGGGAAATGCCCACCCAAAAGAGCCTTGAGCGCGGCGAGACGAACGCCCTGGCACGAAATCCGAGTCCGCGGCTTGCCTCCGATGCCTTCGTTCGGATGAGAATCGAGGTGATGAGCGCGGTTCGCATCCGCCATTGACTTGATGAGACAGGAGACAGAGGAGAGACAGAAATCCATACAGACAGAGGACGGAGAGACAACGGAGAGACGAAGAGACAGAAAATCCAAAGTGAGGAGGAGTAGAGAGACAGTGAATGGTAAGGGAGAAACAGAAATCCAGAAAAGACAGATGAACAGACGCAAAAACAAAGGACAGAGAGTACAGAGAGACAGAAATCCAGAAAGGACAGTTAGACGGAGTGACAGGCGAAAAGAGAGAGAGAGGACAGGACAGGAAAGTCCAGAAGGCAGAGACAGTAGAGACAGAGTGACTGATGAGACGGATGGCTCACCTGTGCACACGGAAAGCCAGAGACAGAGAGACAGAGAGACAGAGAGACAGAGAGACGGAGAGACAGACAGACACAGAGACAGAGAGACGGAGAGACGACAGAGAGACAGAGAGACAGAGAGACAGAGAGACAGAGAGACAGAGAGACAGAGAGACAGAGAGACAGAGAGACAGAGAGACAGAGAGACAGAGAGACAGAGAGACAGAGAGACAGAGAGACAGAGAGACAGAGAGACAGAGAGACAGAGAGACAGAGAGACAGAGAGACAGAGAGACAGAGAGACAGAGAGACAGAGAGACAGAGAGACAGAGAGACAGAGAGACAGAGAGACAGAGAGACAGAGAGACAGAGAGACAGAGAGACAGAGACAGAGAGACAGAGAGTCAGAGAGACAGAGAGACAGAGAGACAGAGAGACAGAGAGACAGAGAGACAGAGAGACAGAGAGACAGAGAGACAGAGAGACAGAGAGACAGAGAGACAGAGAGACAGAGAGACAGAGAGAGAGAGACAGAGAGACAAGAGAGACAAGAGAGACAGAAGAGAGACAGAGAGACAGAGAGACAGAGAGACAGAGAGACAGAGAGACAGAGAGACAGAGAGACAGAGAGACAGAGAGACAGAGAGACAGAGAGACAGAGAGACAGAGAGAGAGAGACAGAGAGACAGAGAGACAGAGAGACAGAGAGACAGAGAGACAGAGAGACAGAGAGACAGAGAGACAGAGAGACAGAGAGACAGAGAGACAGAGAGACGGAGAGACGGAGAGACAGAGAGACAGAGAGACAGAGAGACAGAATTCCGGAGAGACAGAAAGACAGAGACAGAAAGAGAGAAAGACAGAGAAACAGATACAGAGAGAGAGACAAAGAGACGCAGAGAGAGATGAGACATAAGATATGAGACGCGAGATGAGTATACACATCACAACATCACCCCACCAAAAGCGACGTCCACTAAACTATAATGAAAGCCAACAGGTGCTGGTGAATGCCACCCCAGGGATTAAATTGTAGTTGGATCTTTGGTGAAAAGATGGATCACCTCGACCAACCACACCATGTCGGCGCTACGGGAGATCAGCTGGGTGTGTCTTTTAAGGGTTGCCCCAGAACGAGTGGTTTTCCTTTGGCTTCCCTCCCAGTTTCCCTCCAAGCCCAAAAAAAGGCGTCAACTCCAAAACTAGACACGCCCTGGATCCAGAAACAGCTGGCGGCAGGACACCAACCTTGAACTATGCCACGGACTCTTAAGGCAGCGGCCGTGCGGGAACGCCCTCGCTCGACACCTCGGGCATGCCATCAAACATGGTGCGACTTGAACCGTCAAAACGTGCGGTACCCACAAAGGACATGAGAGAACATTCGAGTGAGAGCGTCCCCAGGCTTTGGAGGAATTGCCAGTCCCCCGAACTGGAGATTTTGAGCGAACCTCGTGTCCAAAAGGATCTGAATGTTATGGTCGGGGTTACTCAACCACATTCAAGCCTGCAGGCTTGTAAACATGGCCCGCTCTGTGTGACCCGAAATGCGATTCGCATCCGCCTGGCTACAGGATACAAGCTAAGATCTAATATATCGATCTGCAAACCGAAAGCCGAAAAATACCTTGGTTGCACAGAAGGTGACATCCCCCCAAACCAGCAACGGTTTACAATCATGACGTTGAAGGCTCGGGGCTTGTTCGGGTTCACGTCATGCAATGTCCACAGACACGTGCCATTTCTAGCGAAAGGTCCATGTTCTCACAATCCCTCTGCTTGCCTCGGTTTTGAGTCGGTACCCTTTTCGGGGGCGATCCGAGAGTTGGTAAAAGATGGCAGAATTCCTGGTTGGTTTCGTCATCCCCTCTTCCCACATCTACCAAATACTTTCACCCTAGCTTTTCCAGATCCATCATCACCTTACCCCTGATTGGTGCCGTGGATTGGTGGTTTCAATCCATTTGGTTATTACTTGGGGGGGTGAATCAAAAGGTCCTTTTCATGAATTACCCGTTGGGGAAACCGCCAAAGATGTTGATTTTAACCACTAAATGGGAGAAGGTAAAATTACCCATGGTCATTTGGGCCGAAGGGAATATTGATCAACCCCGCGGGGCCCGTCTTCGTTTCAGACGACCGATTGAGACGTGGCCCCTGCCATCCTCCGCATCGATCTTGGCCATGCGCACCCTCTGAATGTGCTTCAGGCCCTGAGGCGAGAGGGGCTGGAGCGACCAAAAGAAGACGTTTTTGCAACGCCCCCATCACAAGTTGTGGCGTTGGGTTCCGAGGCCAAGAAAGAAACCGCGCTTTTGCGGCGTTGCCTTAAGGTGGTCGACTTTCATGGGACAATCTGCGGGGCATAAAGTGGGACCAGCAGAAGGCCCTTTTGCCCTCAATGGGACCTCGTGGCGTGCATCCAAAAAAGCAAGGCTGGCAAAGGCTGGCATATTGTCAAACTTTTATCGAGCACCTTTCTCAGCTTCATCTCTGGATGAAGACTCCCTGAAAATCAAATTTACATGCTTCCGCAAGAAGACATGGCCCTCCGAAACGTGTATGGGCCCAGTCAATGTCCTCCAAGCAAAAGTCGAACTTTCAGGGTCACAGCGGCAGTGTCCATGGGCGACCCTTTGATGACCCAATCCAAAGCGAAAGCTCCGGGGCACGCGGCTTCGGCTTTTGTAGCCGGGGAATTGCAACCCAACAAATCAAAGTGTGCCAAACGTCTGGTTCAGGCTCCCTTGATGAAGTGCCCCAACTCATTCTTTGAAGCTTAAAGCAAGAAAATATGACAACACCTGCTCAAAGCCGTATTGACCCCGGAATAATAAACCCCGGTTTGTTACTATTGGGGCTGTTCCCCGCCAAAAGTGGAAAAACACTAGACCACGGTTGGTCCGAAAGCATCACAGCCCCGTGATCATTCCCAGTCTGTCAGCTACAAACAGCCATTAGCTACAGCACGAGGATCTACAGCAAGAGGAGCAAGATGATCGCTCACGCAGAAACCACTTTGCAATAACGATCATGATGACTCTGCACAATGGCTCTCATGATGGCGCTGTGCAATGACGCTTTGTGCAGTTGCTCTGTGCAAGTTGCTCTGCGCAAATGCTCTGCGCATTTTTTCCGCGCAAGTTGCTCTATGCAAGTGCTGCCAGAGCTGCCGGAATGCACTTCGCGTGCTGCCTTTGTGCTTAAAAGTTGCGATTTTGCAGCCGAAGCTGCGGAGGTGCACTCCGCGTACTACGTTTGTACTTATCAGTTGCGATATTGCAGCCGGAGCTGCGTACTCCGCGTACTACGTTTGCACTTAGAGGTTGCGATTTTGAGCCGGAGCTGCGGGAGTGCACTCCGCGCGCTACGTTTGCGTAAAAGATGCAATTTTTCAGCCGGAGCTGCAGGAGTGTACTCCGCGTACTAAGTTTATACTTAACAGTTACGATTTCCCAGCCGGAGCTGCGGGAGTGCCCTCCGCGTACTACGTTTGCACGTGAAAGTAAACGCTGCCGCGACTCCGAGAGCAGGCGCGCAAACCACGCGACAACTTCCAAAGACCACTTCGCAAGCAACAAACTCGCACGGCGCCACGCGAGAGCGCTTCGCCACACACGATCCCCGCAGAGGGTTCATCGGGCGCTTCGCGCGTACAGATCAGAAATCGTAAAAAGTCCACCGTTTTTTAACCTCGACCACACGAATCTCCGCAGAGGGTCGCGCGCACAGATCAGAAATGGGTTTTTTAACCTCGACCACGCCGATCTCCGCAGAGGGTTGATTTTCGTAGAGTGCTGTCGAGCCTACCCCGTCGCCCTAAGAAGAGAAGAAAGGAATCTAAAACTCTCATGAGCATTGCTCCTCGCCAGTGACTCTCACGAGCATTGCTCCTCTCAAGTAGCTCTCATGAGCATTGCTCCTCGCCAGTGACTCTCACGAGCATTGCTCCTCGCAAGTGACTCTCATGAGCAAGTGACTCTCTGTGCAATGACTCTGTGCAATGACTCTGTGCAAATGACTCTGTGCAATGACTCTGTGCAATAACTCTGTGCTATGACTCTGTGCAATGGCTCTCAACATGATGATGACTCTGTGCAATGACTCTGATGATGATAACTCTTTGCAATGACTCTCATGATGATAACTCCCATGAACCCAACGGAAGAACCCTTCGCCATGCTTTCGGGAACTAAACCCAGAAAAAAAGCCACCCCTGTGTTCCTAAACAGGGGCTGATTTTCAGGGGTCAACAACTAGGTCCTCCAGCAGAGAGCTTAGAATAAGGGTACCCTTTTCTCTGTCTCCCAACCAAAAAAGGCGTGAGAAAGGGCACCTAGCTGGGGGACCTAGTCCCTCTATTTGGTGGCTTGGAACCCGAAGGTTTGGTGCCCCTCTACAAAAGCCAAAAAACGCTTCAAGGTCCCCAAACCACCCAACGGCCGGGACCTCAATCCATCCGACGCGCCATCCGATGCGCCGCGCCCGGCCTCCAGGCGTCGGCGCGCCTTGCTCCGCAGCGACTCCCACTCCTCGGTGGCCTCCCACCAAGGCGACGCACCAGAAACGCGCCGAAAACCCCCAAAAAAAAAACGACAAAAACAAGCAAGCAAACAAACAACAAATGTGGTGTGGCAGAATAAAGAAGAGAAAGACAAGGGTCATTGTGGTGGTGTGGCCACAAAAAAATGTCGACCGGCTGATAGATGTCCCTGCGCGACATGGCATGCTCCCTTTGGTTTCCAAAGGGAGCTCCCAAAAAGCACGCCCACATGGGCGTGTCTCTAATCAACATCCCTTCTTTTTGCAACATGGCGCACCTCTTTCGTGCCAGCGTTGCACAGGTCTCGTGCACGACCAAGCCGAAAGGGCCCTAACTTGCATCGCCTTGGACGAGTGCACCGTCAAAACCCCCAAATACTCTACCACTCTGTCTTTCTTTTGGGGTGGGGGTGGGGGGGGAGGGGGGAAATAAGTTGGGCTCTTTCGGCAAAGGGGATGTTAACCCATGGTGATTCACCCCTGGGCTCCCCCAATTCGGGACATGGAAGCCACAAAGTGAAATGCGGGATTTTCGGGGCAAACCTCAAGGCGTGACCTTGGACGTTACAAAAGCCTCGGTTGGGCCCAGCAAGCTGAATACAGCCGGGGCGCTTCATGTACCTGGCAGAGAGTAGACATTCGATCGAGATCTGCGGGTGGTTTTGGTTCATGGTAGGGCAAAGGCGATCAAAGGGAATGGCCCTACTCAGAGACAAACTCATCTGCATGTAGCGGGGATTAGGTGCATGCTGCATACTGAACAAATGAGTTTGCTATTCATCGTGCCCTTCCAACTGGCGGCTCAGCGAGGGCGGAGAAGGCATTTCTTGTCGTAATTGTTTCTCAAGAAGACTTGCACATGCATGCACAAGCAGACTGCTTGCCTGGCTTGAATGCGAAGTGCAAACTTCCATGTGTGCCATGCTCACGCCAGGAATCCGTTTTAACAATTGTCTGAAAAGTCTCTATGGATGGATCTGTGACCTAGCAACCCAAGTAGGATGTTGTTTGAGCAGGGCGCATGTGGCAACTACTCTTTCTCTCCCGCCATTTGAGCTGTTATCAAAACCTGGTACTAAATGATTCAGAGGGCGGTTTTTGCTGCGATCTATGACAAGGGGATCCCCCAAACTTCTACCCAAATCAGTTTTGATTGTGGCTCATTCGCGCCGTGACAATCCTCAGCAAAGGAAACGCACTTGACAAAGTTCCACCCGAGAATTCGCTGAATCCGAAGATCGGTTCAGGCAGATCAGGCATCAGATTCAATCTCTTTCCAAGGATGCCTTTGACCACATGGCAACTGCTCCTATCCCGGGGGTCTCCTTCTGCTTTCCCCAAACACATCACCCCCCCGAAAAACTCTCCCTTTGAATTGGCCGGCAAGGGGACGTCTAGGAAATCGAGTAACCTGGAATTTTCCATCAGGGGACATGTCCAATGCGTTGATGTCGGACTCGTTCAAGCGGTGTCCCAGCACCTCAAAGTCCCACGTGCTCAGCACCTGCCCGGAAAACGGCGTGAACTCACGCCAATCTGCTGGGCAAGCTAAAATTCATAGGGGAAATGTTAGAACCGGTTGCATCCTCATATTACTCTCTACATGACCCAAACCAGCGCATATAGTACAAACATGACAGCAGTCGAGAGGGGCGCAAGGACTGCGGTGTCTGTTTGCATTAGGGACTTATCAACAGGGTTCCTTGAAACCAGCTGCTCTACAGCGGAATCCTATAAATCAACTAGCAAAAGGCAACTTTTGACTGGCCTGGACTTCAGGCGGCCATGTAAGGAGTTCCTCGGTGCACATTGGTGTTGCAGGTCGGCTGTCCAGAAATTCCTGAAGCCAATCTGCGAACAACTCGGCTTCCCTTGGAAACACCGCCCTTGGTGCAACATTCTCCAGCTTCGTGTCTAAACAGACAAGCGATCCAACCTTGAAGGGGTGGAGAACACGCACAGACATGACATTTACATACAAATACAACACATATACACACATACCCGTATGCACAAATGCCATACCATACCATACCATACCATACCATACCATACCATACCATACCATACCATACCATACCATACCATACCATACCATACACACGTCACATACATACAGGCTACTACCTCAACAACCGAGAAGAAAAAAAACTGAACCAGACAGACAGACACGGACAGACGGACAGACGGACAGACGGACAGACAGACAGACAGACAGACAGACAGACAGACAGACAGATACACAAACAGCCAGGCAGGCAGGCAGACAGACAGACAGACAGACAGGCAGGCAGGCAGGCAGGCAGGCAGGCAGGCAGGCAGGCAGGACGGCAGGCAGGCAGGCAGGCAGGTCGGCAGGCAGGCAGGCAAGCAAGCAAACCAACTAGCAAGCAAGCAAGCAAGCAAGCAAGCAAGCAAGCAAGCAAGCAAGCAAGCAAGCAAGCAAGCAAGCAAACCAACAAGCGAGCAACCAAGCAAGCAAGCACGCAAGCAAACAAATACAGACCAAACTCACCAAACAAACAAGCAAGCAAGCAAGCAAGCAAACAAGCAAACAAACAAACAAACAAACAAACAAACAAACACACAAACAAATAAGCAAGCAAGCAAGCAAGCAAGTAAGCAAGCAAGCAAGCAAGCAAGCAAGCAAACAAACAAACAAACAAACAAACAAACAAATTAACACAAGACAAGCAAGCAAGCAAGCAAGCAAACAAACAAAGCACACGAAAGCACACACAAACACGCAAACGCACAAGCAATCACCCGGACAAACAGACAAATAGACAGGCAGACAACCAGACAGACAGACAGACAAACAGACAAACAGGCAGGCAGGCAGGGAGGCAGGAAGGCAGGAAGGCACGAAGGCAGGCAAGCAGGCACGCAAGCGAGAAAACAGACAAAAGCCTACGCAAACTCTCAGTCAAGTGTGACTGGATTAGGGACCCTTCAGTGGACATCATTTAAGTGCTGGGATTTTCATGTTGCTGAATGATTGAATCGGTTTTTCAAACAGTCAAATCGCCAGCCTTTTTCATGAGAAATAGCCCTTCCTGTCGTACCAAAGTGAGATTCCCATTCTTATTCCTAGTCTGTCACTGTGAACACCCTTCCCCGAGTATCATAGAACATGGCCTTGTACACCAGGTTCCCACCAACATCTGCAAATCCTAGCTCAGTTCCACCACCTGCAAAAGGACCATCATGGTGTTCGCTGGCTTGGACCGGAGCGGAACCGGTTGCCATGGTCTCTCTCCCGCCTGTAGAACCATAAAGGGCCCGTCCACCAGGCAAGTCTCACGGCTCTCGCTGGACACCTTGCTAAAGGCGTAGTCCAAGAGACAAAGGTACACCCTAGACCCCTCAAAGGGAATTGCCGGTGGGCTAGGGAATACATGGCCTCCCTTTATACATGTTGTTGAACGAAGAATTGCCGGTTGGCTGAATTGGCGGTTGGAGGGGAATAGAGTACACCCTAGACCCCTAGGGAATTGGCTAGTCTAAAAGACCAATTCCAAGGAATACGGAATACATGGCTTTCTCTTTTTTTTGTTGGACTTGGAACCCTTTTCGGGGTGCTTACAGCGAAAGCCCGCATAAGCACAATCCGTTTTTGGCGCCAGGGTCCACATTTTCTAGCCCCAAGACGCGTTTGGCTTCAACAAGTACAGCAGGCAGCGCTTGCAGCCAACATCGACTTTTTGGATTGCGGATTGCGGCGTGCGCAGTCCGATGGGCTTGTGAAGCAGTCTATGCACAATGGTCAACCCATGATGGACCTGCTGCCAGAATACTTCCAGCAGGTGAAACTCACTCCGACCGTCGCATGACTCGAAAAGACCGAGCGTCTGCAGGTGTTTTCAGGTCAGATCAAAGGGATTCGCTTGAGCGACCACCTGCGACACAACAATGTTGCAACATGTGCTGCTTTCTTCTTGACCTGAATGCCCCTCCCGCACCAATTGCCCGGAACAGAGTCTTTTGACCCCAGGGCGGCGTCTCTGACAGAAACCATCATTGGCTCTCAGGGAACGAAGGATTCTTCCCTATAAACCAACCCCCTTGTAGCTTCATTGAAGGGGATGCCCCCGTCCGGTGCATTCCCCAAACCCTCCAGAAACTCCCTGCAGAACCAAACGCGCAGGGCGATCTCAGAAGGGCAGCCATTGCAGCAGCCGCTCACGGCAGCGGATCACCAGACGCTGGAAAGGAGAGACTTGAACTCGGAAGGCGCAAGGCGTGCGGCGTGTCTCTGAAATGATGTCCACGAATTACCGTCCAAAACTCGACTCGCCGTGGCAAAACGGGCCAAACGGGGTGTAATTGAATATCAGGCATGATGTAAAGGGTATACACCACGGTCCCGGTAGGGCAGTGGAAAGTTTCTAAAGCCCTTTCGTTGCTAGTGTGTTCCTCCCGATTTCCAGCAGGTCCCCTGCTCAACAACTTGCAAGCATTCCATGCTAGCTCATGGAACGAAGATTCTTGCCAAACACACACGACCGGTTTTTAAACGGGCGCACTCCGGTCAAGCACATGCAGCATGCATTCGTACAAAAGAGCAGCTATGGAAGCAAGCAAAATAGTGCGTAGCTGTTGTCTGCGGCTCATGGAACATGGGCTGCCGCAGGCTCAAGATTGGCAACAAGCCCACTGCCGATGGTACGAACAAATGTGCGCCGAATCTCTGACTGAACCTCTTGGGACGTACCTGGTCAGGGCAACAAAGAATCTATCCAGTTGGGCGTATCTGAAAGGGGACCCCCCTAAAATGAGATTTCCCATTTGACCACCTCCGGTGGCTTCCCCTTTGGTGTCCCTTCCAAACCCCTCCGGAGTACCAACTCACAAAATAAGAGAGAGGCCGCGCTCTCGATGGCTGGACCTGCATCTACGATGTGGCTTCATCAACATTTGACTTGTTTCGCGTGCCCCATGCCTGTTCAATCCTCCATGAATCCCCCCCCTTGTTTCCGCTTAACAGCAACCACTCCAAATCAAGGTGAACTCAATGTTTTATGCCGAAACGAGGCCTTCAATAGTAGCCACACACTTGCATGTTTCTTCGGGGCATGTACGCTTGAAGGTTTTTCAACATGGTGGAGACCCCCTTCTGGTGGAAAAACTGAAACGAAGGCGAAAGGAAGCCAACCATTTCAGGAAATGGACTGATTTTCCTATTTTGGAGAAACCTCCACTAAACGGTTCCCAATTGAAATTACCCAAATGGGCGTCTCTTCCATTTTCGGCAACCCCCAAATTCCAAAATGGTGCTCCTTGTGGTTCCCCTTTAAAGCCCAACACAAAACGGGTACCCAAAAAAAACCGAGCCAGCCCAGTCCCCAATCCCAGTCCACTCACAAACCCCCTCCAGCCCAGTCCCAGCCCACCCGAGGCATCGCGAGGCGCTGGCCAGGGGATCATAGTCCGCGCTGTGCTGTCGGGACAGCGCCTGGTTGCTGAAGCGCCGCTCCGCAGAGGACCAGAAGTCCTGCCGGAGCTGAGGCTATCCACGGCCCAAGGAAAACGGGGGGCACGCAAACCCAGCCACTGCATGTATATATATATATGCTATCCCCCCCCCAAAGATCGACCATTTTCTGTGTTTTGAGAAAGATGCGGCGCATTACTGCAAGAAACAGATGTGCATATGCTGGGGTCGACATTCAAGTGCAGTGTTGTTGAGGACGGTTGCAAAATGGCGCACCTGCCAGGGCTGCAACACTGCAAGGCTTTGCAAAACTGCAGCCCCTGGCAACCTGAAGTTTCAAAACTACAAGAGTTTCCAAGACACTGCCCAAGCAACGCTGCCAAACTACAGACCTGGCAAAGCAAGTCTGCTAAACTGCAGGCACTGCAGGCCTTGGTTGCAAAACAGACTTGGCAGGGCTTCAGCTCCAACACTGCAAGGCTTTGCAAAACTGCAACCCCTACCAACCAGCCAAAGCACTGCCAAGCAAAGGTGCCAAACTACAGACCTGGCAAGGTTGCAAAATTGCCAACCTGCAAGGTTCCAACACTGCAGGGCCAGCTCCAACACTGCAAGACTTTCCAAGCAAGTCTGCTAAACTGCAGAGCCCTGGCAAGGTTGCAAAATTGCCAACCTGCAAGGGCTCCAACACTGCAGGGTTGCAAAACTACAGCCCTTGCCAACCTTGCCAACCTGCCAAAGTTTCAACACTGCAGGCTCCCCACTTGCTGCAAGGTCTGCCAAACTACACATAAGGCTGCAAAATCCAAACTGCAAGGCTCCCAACACTGCAGGCACACCCAACTGCAAGGCTTTTCAAGCCTGCCAAGCAGCCTGCTAACCTGCAGAGCAAGGTTGCAAACTACAACCTCCTGCTAACTCAACACTGCAAGACTTCCCAAGCAAGGCTGCCAAACTACAGACCTGGAGGTTGCAAAATTGCCAATCCAATCTGCAACCAACTGCACCAACACTGAACTACAGACAAGCGAGTTCAAACAGAAGTTCCAACACAGGCCTGTTTGCAAAACAAACTTGGGAGCTCTGTCTGCCAAAGCTCCCACACTGCAAGGAAGGCTTGAAACTTGGTTGCTGTTCCACAATTTCCAACAAGGCTGCCAATCTGCAGGGCAAGGCTGCAAAAAACTGCAACCTGCCAACCTGCCAAGTTTCAATACCCTGGCAAGGGTTCTTGCCACCTGCTACAAGACTTCCACCACCAAACTGGCACTTCCAGCACACTGCCCAAGCAAGCTGCCAAACTGGGTTCCAGCTCAAAACTGCAACCCACTTGGCAAGAGTTGAACACTAAGGCCACTGCAAGACTTGAGCGCCTCACCTGCCAAAGTTTCAACACTGCAGGCTTCCCTGCTGCCCTGGCAAGGCTGCCAAACTACAGGCAAGCAAGGCATTTCCAACAAGAGTTCCAACACTGCAGGCCTTGGTTGCAACACAGACTTGGCAGGGCTGCAAAACTGCAGCTCTGTACGCCAAAGCTCCAACACTGCAAGGAAGATGCTCAGGGGCGAAGGGCAAGAAACCCATGAAGCTGCAAAAACCTCGAAGAAATCAAAAAAATAAAAAATAACAAAAAATCAGGGTCCTGGGAGAGATTGCCCAGGTCAGAATCAGGAAAAGTGAAAAACCTCGAGAAAATAAAAAAAAAAAACCAAAAAAATCAAAGGCCTTGAGAGAGATAGTCACTGGGTCTGGGCATTCTGTTCCAGGACCTTGATTTTTGATGTTTTTTTGATTTTTGCTTTCTTCGAGGTTTATTCACTTTCCGAGATTCTGACCTGGAAAAGTGAAAAACCTCGAGAAAATCAAAAAAATCAAAAAAATCAAGGCCTTGAGAGAGATAGTCACTGAGTCTGGGCATTCTGCTCCAGGACCTTGATTTTTTGATTTTTTCGATTTTTTTGATTTCTTCGAGGTTTATTCGCTTTCCGAGATTCTGACCTGGGCATTCTGTTCCAGGACCCTATTTTTTTTGTTTTTGTTGTTTTTTTTGATTTCTTCGGGTTTTTTCAACATGTTCATCCTGTGCAGCCAAAAGGCAGATGCAAGATGAAGTTGGGAAGCCAGAAGCCCGAGACCTTGCAGATTCTGGGATGTCTCACCAGAGATAAAACACAGAAAATGGTCGATCTTTGGGGGGGGTACCATATATATATATATCCATAATATATATATATATATATATATATCAAAATATAAATTTCAGGTTGTGTCCAGGCCGTGTGGCAAAGCCTTGTCGCGTTGGTCGCACCTACTTGCCTACAGCGTTTTTGGGTGGCGCTATGTTTTGCCAAGCATGTGTCCGCAGGTCAAATGGGAGGTTCAATTGGACACGCTCCTTTCTCTTGGGACAGGAGTATGTTTCTGGCCTGGCATTGGTGGGAGCGATCTCATTCATGTGTCAGGGGTCACTGGACCTTTTGAAAGTTGCAGTTTTACCGGCGGATTTCAAGAAAAGAAATCGAGGGAACCCTGCGAGTGCCCATTGACAAAGTCACAAGGTCAATTGATGCCACCTTCGTCCGTCCCGGTCCTCCTCTCTCTCCACATGCAGATCGGTCAGGCTGAGGGAGCGACCGCCAAGATCCCTTAGATGAAAGGGGTCAAGAGGTAGCACTGGTCACCGTTAAATGAATAAACCAAATTATCCTTCTATTTTCAGCCCAGATGACTTCGAAAGGCTCCCGCAATTGCTCCAACCCAACAACCGATTCACACAACCTCAGAAAACGGCGGGGTACGCGTGGCACTCACAGCGCCTAGCTCTCCATATGCGCTGAGCACAGTTTCCCTGCGAAAGAGGGTGGTGGGTGGGAGGGAGAAAAGGTCAAAGCAGCCTTTGGCATCCCCCCGCCCCGCCAATCATCTGTGGTCAAGCAATTGTTCAAACATGCAAGATTTGCACTGACAAATGACCGGCTGCCGATTTTCCCCTTTGAGCGGGACACTGTGAGTGCCACGCGTACCCAGCCGTTTTCAGAAAAAAGGCTGGCGGCGATTTTTGAGGGTGGTTGGGTGGGGCGAATCTTGTTTTTGTTGAAATTCTTTGGGCTGCCCTCCAGAAGACGTCTCACTATGCCCTGCTTCCCACATGGCTCTATCGTTGGCCCGCAGGCATCTCAAGAGCTTGTAGCAGCCCACCCTGGTGACGTTGTTCACCTTCTTGTGGCCGCGACAAAGCGTTCAGCTCCGTGATGGCCGCTACCTTCCCGTCGCAGAACGCGTCGAAGTACTCGTCCAAAGCACGCTGTGTCCCACGCATGAAAGCCCGGCGTCCCCGGGAGCAGAAAGACACTTGAGCTGCTTGGCAAAACCTCGTGTTGAACGGCATGAGAATGGAGGAGTCAGCGCATGGCGCGCCATCCAGAAAGATGACTCTTGCGTGCAGCAACTTCAACTGGTCCTCGGTGAACTCCGCTTCAGGCCTCCCATTGAACACGGCCTCCTGCCTCCTCGTCTTCGAAGCTCAGCGGTGCAAGCTCGGCTTCGTCCGCCTGATCAGGCTGATACAACCTGACACGGGTTCAGGCACTGGTGGGGTAACAACCCCTATGTAGTGAGCAGGAGGAAACCTCCGCAGGTCACGACGCAGGCCAAATCGCACAGCGCACCCCGCGCACACAATTCGCACAGGACACGGCCAAAAGCAGCAGTCACTGCCAGCGAGCCGGGAAGGGGGCGCCCAGCAGAGGGGTGGGCCGGATGCGCCGAGGTCACAGGGCGACCTGCGCGGCGGCGCGCCCCGGCGCAGAGGCGAGACAAACCCTTCCAGACTTCAGCAGGCAACGAGTGCGCAGCAGCAAGAGAGGCCCGGAGAGGCGCAAACTGGGGCAGTTGTCATCAAAGAAGTGCCGGGCGTCAGCCGTCGCGACAAGCAAACCGGCGGGTGCGAATCCAGCTGGCGCCAGAACGGAAGACACTGAGGAGCCAAGCATCTTGGGCACCGAGGGCAGCGACCCACCGCTTCCATGTGGGGTGGCACGAAGCCTGAAGAACTTGCGCAACACCTGCGTCATGCCACGCAAGCCTGACAGCGCCGAGGGCTCTGAGGCGCGCAGCCTGCCGCGCAAATGGGGTACATGGGCGCCGTCCCTGCCTGATCAAGGATGCTGCTGACCTTGACTTTGCGCAAAGTCTTGACCACGGCTGCCGGGGTCACGGCACAGAAGGCGCAACGGCGCCAGCTGGCTCAGGCGCCTAAGGGTCCTCGTCAGTTAGCCACACCTTCGATACGGCAACGCTGCCAGGACTCGCAACGACGGAACTCCACCAAGCTGAGTCACTACACCCCGGCCACTGAGAAAAAGTCAAAGCAGCCTTGTACTTGAGCCAAATAGGGCAACGCGAGGGGGGAAAGGGGGGGGGGGGCATCCCCCCACCAGGCCAATCATCTGTGATTCAGCAATTGTTGCTGATCTTTCTTGTCAGAAAACATCATAAACACAGTGTGGTGTCCACATCACATCGCCACCAACACCCGCTCGTCAACCACCGCTTCTCTCCGGGTTTTTTCCTCCGTCTCTATTCATCTCTTCCTTCATCCTTGTCTTGTTCATCATCCATCATTAACAGACAGGGCATGGTGAACAAGAAAGACAAGGAAGCCAAAATGGAGGGGTGTGACGGCCACCTACCCAACCTCTCCCAGTCTCACCTCTCCCAGTCTCCGCGTGTCCGAGGCGCAGCGGCCGGCCCCCAGTGCGGGCCTCCAGCGCAGACACCTGGGAGGCCCAGCGCACCAGCTCCACAGAAAGGCGCTTCTCGGGCCTGCCGTCGCTTATTTGAGGCGGTTTGGGCGGGTTTGGGGGGGTCCCCTCCCACAACCCCAGGCGATTCCTTAAGGCCCTGAAAGGTCATGAGGTTGAAAGCTTAACCCCATATGAATTTCCACCAACCAGTTTCTTCATAGGGTGATT